ATTTGGATGTCTGGGGATTAACTTAGACTGAATATCATTGCACTCATCTATTGATGTTCAGAACTTTTTTAATATTTCTATCTGTAAGTGCAGGAGAACTTACAGAACTCGTGTTTTATAAATAAAATGGTTCAGAAACGATATAAAATTTTACAGCAATGATAAAAAGTGCTGATTAATGTCCTTTTTTTTTTCACTGCACAAACTCCCATGCAATATAGTTTGCATTATGAAGAGTAAGTGGTTGATGCCATATATGTGTGTGTATTTAGAATTTCCTAACTAAAAGGCAGTTTGGGAAAACCATCAAGTATCTTGCAGGATTATATCAGTGACAAGCACTCAATTTGGTTTTCTTCTGTTCAGGTAACTTGAAAATGTAAATACTTAATTTTTTTTGAATATGTGTTTCCTTTCTCCTGTTTTCTATAGCTTTTTTATGCACAATTCACATACTTCACTGGAAAGTGTTGCTTGTAACTGGGAAGTACTGATGAAGAAATACATTAAGATTATTTATTACGGTTTTATGCTAAAATTGGTCTTTTTTTTTGTTGTTGCTTTTGCATTTCTCAACTGTTTAACAATACCTTCTCTGATTCAGTATTTATGTTAAGATCTCATACTGTATGATTTCTGTGCTAATAAACCACTGGGAAGTACTCTTCAATGATAACATTCTAATCTGGAACCAACAGTGAGGCTAAGAGGAAGACACTTGTATCTCTTCCTAAATGCTTTTGTTGATGGTGTGTGTAAATAGATGGCTTTGTTTTACGTGGAGGGCTTTTTGTTGCTGCTGCTTGTTTGTCCGCAATGACAGATATTTTAAGTAAACATCCTCTGAGTTTCTTAGTGCATAGGGAAATAATTTCCTGCTCTTCCACTCACTGCTTTGGATAGAGATGCCTGCATCTTTTTGGAAGGTGTCAGCACTGGGAAATGCATGCAGCATGTGAGCCATGGAGAGCTTTGGTTTCTGTAGGGTCGTGGATCTTGAGTACCTAGTGCGAATACGGGACTCAGAACTCTTTGCTGTAGGTAATTAACATGCATTTTATGTGTTTATATGTCTATTAATATTTCAAGAAGGTAAATTTTTTTGCAATTGGAGATAAATGAATGTGGCACAGAACAGAGTTGTTTGACCCACAGGACGCAGACACGGTGTGTTTTTCTTATTTCCCAGCAAAGGGACTGTGCTGTCTGTCAGACCTTTGGCACCTATGTCCTAACGCTGGTGTAGTTACAGGAAAAAGTTAAGTGAGTATTTCAGCATTCCTCAGAGGCTCAAATTTGCCAGGTGTGGCCATGCGCTCACTCCATCATTTGGATTTTGATCTTCAACAAAGATGGGCACAGGGAGTTGCAGAGAAAAACAGAAGTCCTGGAACGTATCTGACCACTGACGCAGCATTTTATGCAGGGTTGCTAAGAGGTTCCTCCCCAAGGCAAAGAGAATCAGTGAGAACTGCTTGCAGTCTATTGTGAAAAATTGCTCATTCTCACGTAGGTAGTCTGTAGTTATTGAGCACCAGAGCATTGCATTATGTGAACTTATGTTTACAGGCCACGTTATTTATCAGCTTGAGATCAGTAGATGAAGGAGTATTTGTTGGAGACAAAGTGTCATGCCTTTGGAGGTGATGTGGAAGAAGAATCTCCTCCTCCAGAATGTCACACAAGGATTTTCAGATTTGCCAGACTGAATCCAGTGCAACTTCTACAGCAAAACAACAGCTAAAAATACAAGTCAGATTCTGCTTGCCCCTTGCATGGGAAGATTATTTAAAATGGTGTCTTGTTCTGCTTTAGATGTTTGAAACCCTCCGACGGGTTAAACTATTTTATATTTATTACATTGCATATCTGATACAGGAAGAATCTTTCCCAATGAACACCTTTCATGTTTCTAGCACATCTTGGATTAATTTCATGCCAAAGTCTTAAAGATAGCTATATTAAATGTTGGCTCCAGTGTAAGCATTTAATTAGCCTCGTCAGCGTGTGTTCTTTCTGTTCTTTCTGCTTTGGGTTCTGTGGATTTTTAAAAAAGTGAATAACAATCTTGGAGTATCTTTTGGGGAAAAGCACGGTGCAAGTTCTGGGGTTGCATTTTATGAAGAAAGATGTTTGGTTAAGAGGAGAGAATGCAGTCACGGAGTTTCAGTGAGCTGAGGGAACATCGATCAGCTATCACTAAGTGTTCTGTGAAAATTCAGAACTTTCTATTGCATAAATCAAAGGTGACTGGAAGTGTTTTCTTACAGTGAAAAAAATCCACTTGATAACAAATCCAATAATTTGTTTAGCCACATTTTCATTGGCTATGACTTTGGCTTTCTTATATTAAAAGTTTTGGCACTAGATGCTAACCTGTGCCATTGGTTATCTGGAAATGACCAATCTGCTCATTGACTTCCTAATTTTATTATGTACACAGTTAATTGTAATCCAGGATCACAGCAAACAAGATGTTAATTTCTAGAGAATCTACCCGCATTTCACTCAGAGCGTGATTGTTACCAAAGCAAAGAATACAAAGAGAATAACATTTGTGCTATCCTCACAGGAGCTGTCAATAAAAGATGTAATAGGGGATTTAGGAATCTGGAAATGGCCAACTAATTTATGTGAATCTATTTTATTTCAGCTAGAAAGACCAAGCTCTGCCTCGTCTGCACTGCATATTGCAGAGCACAGGCTGTCTATAGAAAACCAGGCGGCTGCATATGGATAGTCCCTTGATATCATTCACTTGCTGTGTAATCTTATTATGCAAAGTTCTAATCTTCACCTAGAATGAATGCCTCTGGGTCAGAATATAGTCATATCAGGGTTTTTGAGGTCATGTTTTGTGATCCTTAGCTTATTCTTCTAAGTAGGGCTGGGATTTAAAGAGTATTCCCTAGACGCTAGCAGAGATAGATGGTAAAACCTGCTGCCTTTTTGGAAGACAAGACCAACATGAGGTCCCTGGTAGGATTAAACTTGATTTGTAGCTGTAGGATTTTTTAACAGATGTATTATTGGACAGGGAATAGGGGGCCACCAGCACAGCGAAATTGGATCACGATTGGCATTCTCAGGGAGTCCGCTGGCTGCTAAAACAGCAGCTGCATGTGGATTTGACTTCTTTCAGGTGAAGCGACTTCCAGTCATTTGGAAAGGATGGGATGAAAAGGAACCTTGGTGATAATTTTGATGTCTGCAAGATTTAGTACCAATGTAATGGGATTATCGGTAACACCTTCACTGCAGAAAAAGCCACCTGGCGCTATAACTGGCAGCAACTGCGAACTAATCCTTTCCCATCTCTTGGATGTCATTCATGAGGCTCCAAGTGATTTCTACCCTGCTAGCTGTGATTAATTTTATAAACAAACAAACAAAAAACCACAGTGACGGAAGCCTAGACCATGTAAGGAGAAGGGAACAGAGGAGAACAGTAATTAGATTTTGCTTTATATTTGCTGCAGGGGATAAGCTCTCTAGTTATTGTAAAAAACAAGCAAATTGTATTCTGTGTGATAAATGTGTGTAACTTTTTGTCATCGACTTAAAAAAATAATAATCTATTTTCATTAGAAAAATAATGTTTCAGTGTAAGGTTTTCAGCTACCTACTGTGTAAGTAGTAGTTAGTACCTGGAAGTAATTACAGCAGGTTTTATGGCAATAATTCTGTGATAAGGATTTTCATATGGCACATCTGGTAAGTTTTGAAGGGGGCTGTGACTTAAATCATTTGTTTTATTGTCCTTTATGGCCATATTGTGTGGTGGAGGTGCCTGCCGACAGGACTTTGTAGTGAAATGAATTGTATGATGTGGAAAGCCATCCAGCCATCTAGCATAGATTTTAAACAATGCCATATTGATAGTTTTCTAGAATAGCAGTTGTTTAATGATTGCTTGGAACATACTGGTTTTTGTTGTTGTTGTTTGTTTTGTTTTGTTTTGTTTTGTCTGAAGTAATCTTATTAGTTTCAAACTATGATCTGTATTGTATGTGTGCCCTAATTTGAAATTACACGTAACTTACCTGAGGAGACATAGAAGCTGAAGCTTATTAGGAGCTAAGAATTTGTCACTACTACCATAACCATCTGATAAACCCAGGAGTTTCAGAAAGTCCCTTGTGCCACATCTGTATGCCAGGACTAGTGAAAATCCCCGTCTCTTGGATTAGGACTTTTATTTCATACCAAATGCACACAGTAGAGTCTTTGAGAGTCCATTAGTTGGAAAGTGGGGAGAGCAGCGCTGGAGATGTCTTCACTCCTTTGCTGTCCTCTTGGTTTCCTGCCATGACAGCTGCAGTCATAGGTATAGCTACACTCTGTTGGGTTTCAGATCACTGCAGCACTTAGATACTTCTCTGATTTGCTGGTGATTGAAGAAAAATAGTGGTGTAAGTTGTGCTGCCTTCACATTATTAATCCCACAAATGTTAGTTAATAAACATCTTGAGTCCCCGTCTCCATCTGAGCTGAAGTGGGTTGCAGCAGTGCCGGCAGGCAGGGAGAGCCTGTGTTTAATGTGGGGATTGCAGCTCCCCAGCATCCATTCAGCTCCACAGTCCTGCAGAGGGGAGGATATTCCCATAGTAGGCAAGTGGCTGTAAGCCTGTCTGCAAATTTGAGTAAAAGAAGCCCATATGAGTAGCTGAGCCAGCGAACCGTTGTCAACATTCCCTCCCCATTAACTTCTGTAGCCTTGCTATGTGTTTTTTGTTTTGCTCTGGTTCCTTTGTTTCTTTCTGCTCCTACTCAACTGCATCTTGTTGACTTGCTGGGAGGGGCAGTCAGTTGTACACATGGGAATGTCTGCGTTAGTCAATAAAAACTCGATAGCGTTTCATCTCTTCTTGTGGGCCTGATTGGCTTTAGTCACTGTTCTTCTAACAATACTGTCCGTTGGTTGTTAGATGCAAAAGATGGCTTTATGAATGCTACACTGCTTGCTGCCAAATGAACGATGTTCTTCTGTTTTCCTATAGAGCAGAACCAGCTGAGCCACGTAGCGCCGTGCCATGTTTCGCAATGCCCTAGGAAAAACCTTTCGGTTTCTCGGGTATACTGTGCAGTATGGCTGCGTAGCACACTGTGCCTTTGAGTACCTTGGAGGAATTGTTGTGGTAACTTTCCATTCTTGTGACTTCAAAAGACATAAAAATTGTAATACTAAAACTGTTCTATGTCAGAATGCCGTTATTTCGGTTTTCTTCATTTAAAAAAATTTTTTTTCAAAGCGTGTTCAGTAAAAAAAAAATAAAAAGCACAGCTTTTTGGACAAGTTAGTGCTTCAGGCATCGCTGAAGCAAATGGGAAGCAATATGAGTAAGCATTTTGCAGAGACTACATTCTTTCAGAAAGGCCAGAGTTGCAAAATTCCAACTCTGTGCAGATTTCTGGACGCTTTATGCTACTCCTCCCTTCCCCAGATATTGCTGCTGGAGATAATGGGTTTGGCTGAGAGCTCCTCCTGCAGCTCTTGTGATGCTTCTCTTCACAGAGGCTGAAAACAAAGGGGTGGTGCTGCTTCCAATAAATCCTGCAGAGAAGGTGCTGAGATGTGTACTCGGGAAGCCATTGCACCCAGCACAGTGCAGGACCAGTTCTGAGCTAAAAGAGCTGTAACAGGGAATCTGGAGGCTGTCCTTCCTGCTTAAATATCAAATATCCTACTGAGGGTTTAATTGTTCCTTACATTTCATCTTTTGTAATTTATTAGCAAATAATTGAAAACATGTATTTTAGATAACGGCGATTGGCAAATAGTAATTTTGTCTTATTTATTTTTAATTTTCAGTGTTCTGGACCTTCAATGGAACCAACAATTCAAAATTCTGATATTGTCTTCTCGGAGAACCTTAGCCGACACTTTTATTCCATTCGGAAGTATGCTCCTTTGTTGAGACTACATTTTACAGTTAGTTTGCCAGAGCTTCTCATTAACCACTTTCTATCCATCCTTTATTTTTCATACATTCTTCAGCATCTGCATTGTATTTTTTCGTACATCTCCTCTCATTGTGTCTGATGGAAGACAAAGTAATGGGCAAACACTATCCGTCTTACCAAACTACTTGTCAGAACTCATCTAGGATATAGTCATAGAATCACAGAATAGAATCACTGCAGTTGAAAAAGACCTCCAAGATCATCTAGCCCAGCTGTCCACCTCCTATCAATGCTGCCCACTAAACTGTCTTCCTTAGTACCACATCTACGTGCCTTGGACACCTCCAGGGATGGTGACTCAACCACCTCCCTTGGCAGCCCGTTCCAGTGCCTTACCACTCAAGTCCATTTCACTTTTCCATCTTTTTCCAAGAAAACAGAGAAATTCCCTCTTCCCTCCCTTTATTTTCCCTAACGCTTTTTTTGTTTGAACATAACTTCTCCGCATAAGTAATTTTGACTTACTTTTAAATCGAGCTGTGGGTTTTGCTGTGCCCAGATAGACCATTCAGTAACTTTTCTAACATCCTAAGTGCAGTTTATCAAATGTCATTATGTTGTAGAGCACAGGCTCTTGCCCATTGCACTGTGGACCATTTCACTGTACAATGTAACGTGTGTAACTGGGGCAAAAGATCCTACAAAGTCAGACATCTGAAGTTCTGTGGAAACATTTGTACAATGACGTATGGAAATTTGGAATCTTTTCCATATGTATGTAACAGCAGGATCAAGTGAAGAGGCATTCATTTTATCAGAGCATTTTCAATTAAAATGCAGTCTTAAATATTCAACAAATAAATAGCAAAGACTATCTCCAAATGTGCTTGCATTACACCTCAGTGTAATGTGTGTCACTGAAAACACCAAAATGTAACTAGAGTTTTGAGCAGAAAGAACTGTCTTTTAATGTATGGGAGTATTTTTGGAGTATGTGCATTGATACACACATCTTCAACCAAATATTCTATACTTAGTGTTTTCTTTTGTTTGTGTTTGTTTCTGTTTCTGCTTTTTCCCTCCCAGAGGAGATATTGTAATTGTGAAAAGCCCGACTGACCCCAAATCAAATATCTGTAAAAGAGTAATTGGCTTGGAAGGGGATAAAGTCTGCACAAGCAACCCTTCTGATTTCCTTAAGACTCACAGCTTTGTAAGTATTAGAGTTTCTTGATTTGTAAATTAATGATTACATAAGCAAGCCTTGTAGTCTGTGAAGGATTTGCAGTATCTTATTATCATAAATCATACAGTATGACGTTAATGAATTATTCTATGTATTCAATAAAATGTAAACTTTGTTTATGGCAAGCTGCCTTTCTCAGTGTCTTTTGCCTCTATAGGAAGTGTAGGCAGGCCATATGACCTTTGTTTAGGTCTCCTTCCACAAGGAGTACTCTAGAAATCTCTGAATATAGTACAGCACAGATGACAGACTCAGGGGATTGGCCTTAAGGCAAAAGTGTTTCTACATTTTTAATGATAGGAAGTGAAATTTTGTCTTTGCAATACCTTTGAGGATTTTGCTTTCAAAATTAATGTATCTATATGTTTCAGTGTAACAGAATTTAACTTCTGACTACAGCTAGAAAAGTACTGCTTTAACTAACTTGCCAAAAAAATTCAGGTAAACAAGATGAAATAGAACAGAAACAAAAATTCTTAATGCTGACTTGCCCTTATGCAAATAGACTTAAAAGAAGTTTGGAAAGATCTGAGATTAAAGATTTTCAGCAACTTGTTAGGCTATCATTAGTAAAATCATCAGAAATCATAATCACAGAGAAAAATGTAGCTTTTTCCCTAAAGCATATTTGGCTGTTTCCTCTGCTCAGTACCTGGTGGTGGAAACACTAGGTTTTGCACAGCTAGCTACAGTTTATGATGGCTGAATCCTTTACGAGTTTAGCTACCCAAGAGTGCCAGCTTCACCAGCATCCCTTCAGGCACTGTTGCTGTGTGTGTATTGGGCATTTCAGGTAGTTTTTAGTTGAAATGGAGGCTGTATGTTCCAAAATCAATGGAAGAATTGTCAACATTGTGTACAGATTCAGTGTCTGGGTTTCGTCAAGGCACGGGACCAGAAAACAAAGATAGGATTGATACCTTGCTTCAAAGGGCTCAATTTGATATTTCTTCCATTCCAATGTCGAGGCAGGACATTTCAGGCACCTGACTCTGATCTGTCCTGGTAAGTGACAGTACCAGTGACAGTGACTCGTTCTCCATAACATTTTGAAGGGAAGGACTGTTGGTTTTGTTTTTTTTTCCCCCATAAATCCAACTGTTTTAATGTCGAACCATGAAAACAAATTAAAAAAAACTCCACCCCCTTTCTTACTGAGTTGAAGACATTTTCTGCTTCCTCTGGCAGTAGTAATTTAGGTGAATTTCCCAGAAAGGAAAGACCTGCATGGAAGCCTGCATTCCATGTACGCTGATAGAGGCGAGCTGAATTTCTGTGAGCGTTTTGTTCCCCTCTTGTCTTAGTCCTGAAAAGGAAGCAGGAAAGGCTTGTGCTTAACAGGATGCCTTTCTGGAAACCCTGTGGTAATCAAATGAACAGTGGAGCAATTTCTGCCACAGGTATGACTTTTCTTGTCACCAGTTTTCATACAAAGTGTCGGGAGAATGAGAGGATGAGGAACACATCCATTTCCCGTTTTCCTGTGTATGTTTTTCACAAAGCCAACGTGTGCGAGTCCAGGAAAGAAGTGATTGCACTTTCTTAGTTGTGGCATCATAACTTGTAACTAGGGGAGAAACGATCCAGATGGAAGTACCTAAGTTTGTTAATGCAGGTCTGTTTTCCTCATATCCTTAATGGTTGCCGGACAGGTGAATCTTCCCATCTGTTCAGGAGGCACTTACTTTATGGAAGAGAGTATTTTCAACAGCGATATCTGCACTTTATGTTCATAAATTGCACTGGATTATTCAGTCGGCAGTTCTGTTCTTGCCGAGGGAGGAGAAGCAATACGTATCCATGCTGAGGTGATGTCGAACCAAATCCCTATTTCAGCGGAGCAACAACGCGGCGCGCTTCAAATTCAAACACCAAATTCTTCAAAGCAAATAGCAGCAGAGAGTCGTAGAGAGACCTCGCCGTTTGTTTTGCTGCTCCTTCTTTGAGGAGAATTAATCTGCGTTGGGTTTGGAGAAAGAGATTGCGGGAACTGTGAGGAAAGGTTTTGGCTGGGCTCCCGAATGGCCGGCAGCGCTGCCTGCGGTGCCCGGCTGCGGCAGAAATGCAGGCACACTTTGAGAGACCAGAAACTGTCATGAGTTCTGTTGTTTGTAGCAGGCTACTAATTGCTTCTTTTAATGAGAAATCTCGGAGTGATGCTTGAATGTGCTGACTCAAAAATGTTTAAGGTCAGAGAATTGTTTGTTTTTATTATGGTGAACTGCTCAGCCTTTCTCGACTGACCTGTCTCTCGTTTTGGGGAGTGATAGTGAATAGATGTTGTCATGCCTGCAAGCTTATTGCAGCTAAGTAAACACAAAGTACGAGATGCATGATACCGAATTAGGCAGTTCTTACCTCAGCTTTGTCCTGTGCTGGTGTTTGGCACCCAGTAGTTGGGTGTGAGGAGTTAGCCGGTTACTGGAGATGCCAGATGAATGGCAGTGTAACACACCGCAGCTAGAAGTGAAAGCACCTCAGAGCAGCTGTTTGTCTCAGCACCGAGTCCTTGTGCTCACGTATGATCCTGTCAGTAGGAAATTTTCATGCTTAGAAGTGCTACAGTAGTTGATTCCCAGGCTTCCTGGTACAATCAGATCCTGCTTCCACCCACATTTCATCCATGAGTACACTTCTCAGGATGGCTTCTGAGAGAGGAGAGTGGAGAACTGTGTATGCTCTCTGTCAAGCAGTTACACAGACGAAATCCTGCCTTGAGAAAGGATAGATATCTGTAATTTAAAAACAAACAAACCAAACACAAAAATAAAGCCACAACAAAACCACCAAACCGCACAGAAATAAACAGCAGCAAACAAAAGCTCAAAACCGTTCCAAACTATGGAAAGAAAGAAAAATAAAAAGTCCTATTTCAGTTGTGTAAGTTGTTCTGAAAAGAAGAAACTCAGTAGACTAGAAATGCAGTAGAACAGTGGCAGTGATGCAAACATCTTTCTGATGGTATAAAAATATTTCTACTGCCATGCCTAGCCAAAGACATGTCATATAGGAAGAAATATTCTGGGCCTGCACTAAGTATAAGGATGTACCAAAAACCTGGCTCTGATGGACTCACTGTTGGACTGCTAAGTGCTGGAATTATTCCCAAGCACTGAACTGATTAGTATAAAATAATGGTGTCCTTAAATTAAAATTGAAGTAAGAGTGTCTCTGCTTTGGGCCCTGTATGGCACGTGATGCTTCCTTTGTATGTTACAGGTTAGAGCTTATCCACAGAATAATAATGGGAAAAGTGATGCTGTTTACATGAGGAGAAGAATTAGGTTTTTTTTTTTTTTTTTTTTTCCCATAAGCTCTTAAACACTTTAAAATTTAGGAAAGTGGAATTTTTCTTTTCCTTGCCCTTTTATTCAGATTTGGTGTGGAATGTGTGAGGCTGGCAATTTTTCTGGGTTCTTTTGAGATTTTGTGCTTAATGCTGGTGTTTATACATATGATGAAGTATATTTAATGCAGTAGACTTTTAAGAATGCATAACGTGTTTTTGCTGCATCAGAAGAGATGTGGTATGAACTAAAAAAGTAAACAACTAATTTAATTAATGCAGTATTCAAACCTGATTTCAATTATTTAGAAGTGTTTTTGCAGATTTATTCATTTAATCATAAAATGTAAATAACAAGGGTTAGAAATTATTCAGTCACAGCAAAACTCTGAAATGGTCCTAAAATTGTTTTGAAAGGCTAATTTTCATATTTGTTTTTTCTATTTCCTGTTTTTAAAAGTCTAATACAGGCCAAGGTTTATAATTCAGATTGAGTATCTCATTTTATTATTTGAATTTATTTTAATGCCATTTACTTTAGCTTTAATTTCTTTAGTACCATATGTTCTTGTGCTGCAGCTCCTATTTACAGATTGAAAAAGTGAGGGGCAAGTCATCAGATTAAAGCAGCTTGTATGTCATAAACCAGCAATATGGTAAGCCTTCGTGTCACTTAAACAAAAGTAGTACCTAATAATGTCACTTAATACAGCTAGGGTCTGTAAATAAGGAACCGCCTTTTGCAAGTCATAGTGATAAAAAGCTGAGATACAAATCCATATCTCAGCAACACTCTGCTAGTAATCAATCTCAACACAGCACTAATGCTGTGAGACTAGCTGATGTGGGGGAAGTGTGTTTACCTTGTGCTAAAATGAGGTTCATTGCGGAGATGGCATCTCCTCATCCTGTGGTTAACTCTAGAGCTAACATAATTCTGAAGATAATGCATCTTACTGTGTTTGCAGACCAGAGAAGTGGTCTTATGCAGTGCTATTAGCTCCTACACAGTCCTTGTCAAATGCTGGAAGGAAACTGTATGGGTTCTGAGAATAGTGTCCTGTTAACAGAAACGACACACTATGTTCATCTCTGTGCTGTACTGCAGAATTTGGCTGGGCAACTTAAGGTACTGAAGGGCAGGTTGATATTTCAGAGCGCTCAGTTCCATTGTGCAGTCTCTTTAAAATATCAATAATAAATATGATAGAAGAGATGTGTAAATGAAGCAGCCATTGTACTGTCTGTCTGGTGGGAAACTAGAACTGATTTTGCACATTCACTTAATTTGTGGCTTTGTTGAGTTTGCAGATCCCTCCATATCCCAGTATGGAGCGTTCATGACTAGAGCTATCTTGAATCATCTGAGTAGTCATTTTAATCAAAATACTGACTTGCCAAAATGAAAATTCCTCAGAGAAAAGAAAGAATACTATCAGCCCTTTCAGCAGTATTTTCCAGGCTTTCTTCTGCTTAAGCATATCAGTCTATTTACCCCGCAGTTTTGTTTTTGATACTTCAGGAACATATGAGCAGCCCTTCTGATCTGACACAGCAGTGTAGCTCAGGAGGGGAGCAGCAGCAAGGGCTCAGCGAGTCCCCAGCAAGCTACATGACGTCTCAAACGTCTCTTTCTTCTCCACAGCCCTGCACCAGGTCAGCTGCTCTGGATGCAGATGGC